CAGAGGAAGAGAGGAAAGGGCATACCAGTTCTGCAGGGGGGGCGAAGAGGTTCCGTTTGAGTTTCATTGGTCGCTGTGTGTTGAAACTCATTTTGCTGTTTCTGTGACGTACGGGCCTGCTGTACAAACGTTCGCTGTTCTCAGTCAGAAAATAACGAAAATAAGCGTTTTCCTTTGGGTGTGGGTATGTGGCGTCATTTTCCTGTCGTCTGCGTCAGCAATTTACTGGAGAAGTATGTTGAACGCGCGCGCGCGCGCGTGTGTGTGTTGGCATGTTTTCTATATACAACTCCAGAAAAAGAAGCATGACTCTGCCACTTCCTATTCGTCCTCCTAAATCCTTCCCCGTCCTCCTTGTCCTCCTCCCCATAAGATTCCTCCTTAACCCTTTCTCGTCTTCATCCAGTCTCCATCTCATCGCCACCTCCGTTGTCTGTCACCTGCGCCACGTGGCGCACTTGTTTTTCTTCTGTTTCTTTTTCTTTTCCTTAAATCCGCGCGCGGGAGAGAGACGCCAGCCCCGGTAGACAGGGGACACAAAGAGAGACAGAGAGAGATCCCCGGTCCTCCTTGTCGTCCCCCTCAACCCTCTCCCGTCCTCATCGTTCTCCTCCTCATCCTCTTTCTCCCTGTCAACCCTTCGTCCTCGTCGTCCTACCTCGTGGTTCTTATCCTACTCATCGCCACCTCAGTCCTCTGTGGCGTGTGGCACACGNAGAGAGAGAGAGAGAGAGAGAGAGAGAGAGAGAGAGAGAGAGAGAGAGAGAGAGAGGCCTCCCGGGTCCTCGCTGTCTTTCTCAACCCTCTCCGCTCCTCATCTTCGTCCTCGTCCTCCTCTTTCTCTACCGTCCGTCCTCGTCGTCCTGCCTCCTCCTCGTGGTTCTTATCCTTCTCATCGCCAACTCAGTCCTCTGTGGCGTGTGGCACGCGCGCGCGCGCGCGCGCGCGAGAGAGAGAGAGAGAGAGAGAGAGAGAGAGAGAGAGAGAGAAGCTCCCATCTTATATCCTGTTCTTCCTCCTCAATCCTTCCTTCTCCTCTTCGTCCACCACCTCCTCATCGGTTCCGTCTCAACCCCCATCGTTATCCAGCCTCCTGAAGCCATCTCGTCGCCCTCCTCCTCTTCGTCGCCACCTCGGTCGTCGGTTGTCGGCGCACACGTATTCTCTTCTTTTTTTCGTTTTGTCTGTGTCCCTGCGCAACCCAACTAGAGGGAAAAGAGAGAGAGTCAGAGTCGGGAGCATGAGCTCCGCCCACGTCCGCCCGCCACTCCGGACCATCATTCCCGACCTCTGGCCTCCTTCCCCCTTCCCCCGTCCTCGATGTGGCACTGCAGGCTTACTTCCCCTTCAGCAAATCGCCGTCGTAGCAAGTTTTGAAAAGGAAGGAAGGAGAGAGAGAGAGAGAGAGAGAGAGAGAGAGAGAGAGAGAGAGAGAGAGAGAGAGAGAGAGAGAGAGAGAGAGAGAGAGGGACGTACGTCTGCCCGACCATCTTCCTCAACCTCCCTCCTCCTGCCCCTTATTCTATCTCCAGTTGCCTTGATCAATGACAGAGAAGTGTGGAGTTGACGAGGGATTGAAGGTGGAGCAAGAAGTGAAGGATATGTTGTCGGTCGATCCATTGAGGTGCAATGGGGGAGGTGGGTGTGATAAGAGGAAGGCGAATGAGTGGAGGTAAGGGAGAGGTGGTCGCGATGGAGGGGAAGGTGGTGGCAATAGGAGGGGAGGGGTACCGGAGAAAAAAAAAGTAATGGCAGGCAGGAGACCTGTTGTGATAGGAGGGTCAGGTTGGAAAGCGAGAGGGGGGAGAAGCGGAACGAGGAAGAAGAGAGGGGAGAGGGAAGTAGTCGTGATAGGAGGCGGACGGGGAAGGAGGGCAGTAGTTGAGATAAGAGCAGGAGGAGGGGACACAGAGAGGGGCGGCAGGGTTGTGACAGGAGGGGTAGTGTCATTTGGGGGGAGTATTGTTATCGGAGGATGAAAGGGAGGTAGCTTTGATTCAGGGAGGAGGTAAAGGGGGGAAGTATTTGCGATAGGAGGGGGAGGAGGAGGAGGGGAGGTGGAAGGAGGTAAGGGGGACAGTAGTCGCGATAAGTAGGGGATGAGGAGGAGCGGAGAGCGGGGTGGCAGAGTTGTGACAGGAGGAGGGTAGTGTAAATGTAATTGAAGGGCGAGTATTGTTATCGGAGGATCCAGGACAGAGGGAGGAGGGGAGGTAACTTTGGCTGAGGGAAGGAGGTAAATAGGAGCGATGGGAGGAGGGAGGAGAGAGAGGGACGGCAGAGTTGGGGGGCAGTATCGTTATCGGAGGATGAAGGAGAGATGGAGGAGGGAGGATAACAAATGGTGGGGATGAAGCAGAAGAGAGGATGGAATAACTTGGCCAACGCTTCTGTTCCTCCAATATCCGTGCATGGAAAAGAAAGAGAGAGACACACAGAGAGAGAGAGAGAGAGAGAGAGAGAGAGAGAGAGAGAGAGAGAGAGAGAGAGAGAGAGAGAG